AGTAGGGCCCAATCCCCCACCACATTTTTCCTGTAAACCCCCCCCCCCCAAAAAAAAAAACCACAGGAAAACCACTACTAATACTTAACAGAAATGTAGAATAGGGATTTCAAGTGCAGCAGATACTTCTACCATTATCTGCCAATATCCTCCATAGTACATCAAATCCCTGACTGTGTGAGAAAAGTGTTGCAGATGTTGGTTACTGGATATCAAAAGCCAAAGCACTGTGTTGCATGATCAAACTGACCTTCAACCAGCCCAGGATCTGAAGATGTCCCAGAATTCTGCCTTCCGCCTACATAAGAAATAACAGACATATGCTAAAAAATAATGATTAGTGCTTGTACCATTACAACACTAATTAACCTCTGATTTGTTCAGATTCATTAGTAATGCAAAAGGTTGGGCTGTAACTCATCTGTAAAAGTATTATTAATCCCTACACTACGCAAGCGTTGTTAGAATGGCTTTTTCATTGCCAGGATACCTTCACTGCAATGTAAAGGCAATACAGAAGTTGTATCTGTTAAATCTACTTCTCACAAAAAAACCCCAGATTATAGCAAGACAGTACAGTAACAGTATTACATAAGCTGTCTTCCATCTATTCAGTAACATTATTCTCTAATGATAATCCATGCATGAAGTGAAGGCAGGATATTAACAGAGCAATGAAAGACTTCCATGATGAGACTACAAATAACTTATGCTACCAAGAAACCACAGCTTAAAGTTGATTAGGATACACAGAAATAGTTACACTCCTGGTTCTCAGAGCTTCTAGATGCATCCACCTTTAAAGTTACTGGGCTTGACTCACAGTCAAACTAATCAGGATACTCCCTCGTGCTACAGACTGTCCACCTTAGCTAAGTAAGTTTGGCTCAGCTGCACTGTCAGCTCCTTTTCTGTAAAACACACTTCCTCCCAGAGTCCAATCTCCGTTACAGGTCAGGATCTTTCAACTACCACATCCAATGGGAAACATTTTCAGCAACTCTCACAAATTGCTGGATGCGGCTGAAACTATAGATCTGAAAAGGAACAAAGAATAGCTTCTAAGAATCAGGAGCCACATTGCATATATTTAGGTAAGCCCAAGACATGCTGAGTACTTGTTAATATTTTAAAATACCTAGTTTTAAAACTTCTCTTCTTTACATATAACACCATCTCGCCAGTCACTTAAGGCTGTAATCTAGTCATCATCAACACAGACTTCCTTGTAGGCTTTCCTATCTGCACTGAATATTAACTCTCTAGTTTCATAGCTTGTTCAATCCATTCTCACAAACAGGACGATCAACCAGCTTCCATGTTCCGGCTTCTCAATCACTCCCCCCACCTCCCCTGAAAAATACTAACTTCCCCCACTCACCTCCCACCACCTGTAACATTCCCCCACACAAGCTTTTTTCCTAGCCACTGTTCTGATCACGTCTTGTTTTTCTTTTAATTCTTCCACTGCCTCTGACAACAAATACAAGCTATTCTCTTCATTTCACATGTCCTGTGTTACTCTATCTGTACCATGTGACACCTAAGTTTTCAGCAGAGATACAGGAAACCACTTTAGGGAAGGTGACATGTCTATATGATTTGCCACACTCAAAACACATTATTAGCACAAAATGTCACAGAAGTGGGAACTACATGAACTTCCCACACACCCCCAGCAAGTCAACAGAGTAAGATACGCAAGTATTGACTTGGTATTTGAGGTAGTTAGCTGTGAACATTTTAAACCAACTCAAGTGATCTTCCTTGGCCATGTATGTTAAATATGCACTACTAATCATGAGAAATTCTCACCGGGAACATCTCCTAAGAGACACAACCTCAAACTCACACCACTTCAAAAAAAAAAATCCAATCTGTAATAACTCAAGATGCCTTCTAGACCTTTAAAAACAATGTCATTTTAAAACCATATTAGGGAACTTTTTCTTTTTATATATGCACACACACTAGCTTAATAAAATACATAGTTTCACCATCTTCCAAAAGGATTTTAATTGTTTTTATTAGAATATACTAATTTTAAAACAGAGCAAAGCACTTAAAGCATAAGATTAGCAATTTTGAAGATATTTCTAAAAATCTGTTGCAAAAATGATGAAAAAAATCTCACTAGTACCCACCACTGCATTGGAGTCAAGCTGTTACAAAGCTTGATGACAGAACCAGAACATGCCCTTAGCTTTTTAAAAATAAAAAGCTCAAACAAACCTTTGTTTCAATAGAAATGCAGGCATCTGTTTAAAGCATAAGATTAGCAATTTTGAAGATATTTCTAAAAATCTGTTGCAAAAATGATGAAAAAAATCTCACTAGTACCCACCACTGCATTGGAGTCAAGCTGTTACAAAGCTTGATGACAGAACCAGAACATGCCCTTAGCTTTTTAAAAATAAAAAGCTCAAACAAACCTTTGTTTCAATAGAAATGCAGGCATCTGTTTTCATTTCTCCATTGTCCAAGGTATTTGGAATGGAGATACGAAGCCATTTTCCTTGAGCAAGACTACAGATGTGAATCTGTAATGGCGTAATTACAGCATGGTTACATAGAAGTTCAAGCTAATGAGGAACATCAACACAACTATTTTCAGTTTCTAGCAGTTAATGACAGACTAGGAAGACCATAACCAAACTCCTTACTAAGAGAAAATAATCACAGCGTTGAGTCCAGGACCGAGCATTTAAGTGTTAGACATGAAGACTACTATAAACTTCCAACAAGAGAACTACTTCCATTTAGAATCTGCTATAATCAAGAACACATTTTGATCGTATCTTGATTCTCAGTCACAGTTTGGGGGTGCAGAGATATGCCAGTATTTCCTGATTGGGAGCATACCTAGCATGTAGACTTCCACAGACATGTCACATGGCTGCTTATCGCTGGATTAGCATTATTTTGCATTTCAAAGATACTGTTTTAGCAAGGATCTTATTTTTTAAGCACCAGGTATGTCTGTTAGTGGGGAAAAGGCTAACACTGCCTAGATCATCTAAGCAAGACACTAAATCATGAGACAGAAACCAGTATGAAACATTTCATAAGCAAGGGCTACAGTGGCTTAAAGGAAGTATTTCTGAGGACTTACATATTTGAATCACAGAATGGGCAACACATTTACTGATTTCTCAAAAAAATCAGGACACATTTGTTGACTTGACAGGACACAAAGTGTGGTAAACAATGCTGTAGAATTTGGGTTTCACCTTTTACAGGGGAATTAGCTTAAAGTCACCATCCTCATTTCAAAACTCAAATTTGCAGTTTAGTTTTTCTACCTTATTGCCACAATTCAATTAAAGCACTTTTTTATTTAATTAATTCAATGCTAAAAGTGTAATTTAGTGATAAAGTACTTACAAACTGAGACAAGTAAACTGAAATTGTTACTGTAAGTTCTTGCACCTGACTTCAGCCGTGTCATGCTCTCATCACACTGCTGCCTTACCTCAAACCACAGGAGTTGCACAGCTTGAACAAGTTCCTCCACTGTTACCCAACAGCAATGACTTACACGACGACAAACATGCTTGGCAAGTCAGACACAGCCTCACCTTTTCCCAGGCACAAGGAGAACTTTATGTTATGGCTATAGCAAAGTTTTACCCTGAATTTTATCCTGCACAAGTCAGGATGAGTTTCCACTTCCAGAAGTATTTGCTCTAGAGACAACCTTAGAAGGCTGGTAGTTGAGTGCTCTTCTATCCCAGCTTAGCTTCTGTTATGGAAGCAATCAGATCTATCACTAATACCAAAGACTCCCAAACATGAAGTTTAGCCCTCACCCCTGGAAGCTCCAGCTATGAAAAGGTCAGACTGGAATTTAAAAAGTCTTCCTTGTGCCCAAAACCCAAGTTCTCTCTTTCTCTGAAACACACAAAAGCAATGAAAAGAACATATTCCTGAAATATCCAAATATAATTACTAGTTAATAGATCTGAAAATGTTAAATACAGACTTCATTAAAAGCCATTATCAATTCTATTAAGGCTTTTTCTCCTTCCTATACTTCATTCCCCCACATAACTGGCATTTTCAGAAAAGTAAAATTAAAATACTGGGAAAGTATTATTTGGCTCATTAAATAGTTACACCCTGGAAATATCTATTAAACGCTCCCTGAAGATAAAAATTTAACGTTAGTATCTAGTCCCCCCAAGATGCCAACAGCTTGCCACTGTTCTTCATGGCCAAGCAAAGTTCTCTCTCAACCTGCACGTTTTATGTTATATTAAACCACCAACAATTATTTCTAGAATACAGATCTATTTCTTAAATTCAAATTACGAAGTGACTTAGAGCGTATGTAGCTCTGACCTGCAAACACTGGGAATTCATCAATTAAGTCTAAAATGCTCCATTATGCACAGAAAAATTTTTGTAGAAGCCATTTTTCTAACACAGCAAAAGGAAGATGCTCTGCAGAAAAGCAAGACCTTTTATTGTTGTTTAATATTTATGGCCAATTTTTTCTCCTGCTTTTCTGACAAGAAGCCACACCAAAAAGTTTATTTTATATTTTTATTGTATGCCAAAGTTCATTAAAGATGGGGTTTGCTTGTATACAAGTTACTCAAAAATTGTGTCTAGGCAGAGATTCATTAGCAATCTGACTTATTTCAAAGCATAGGTTGGTTCAATCAGGCCACAAAAATAATATTGTGTACAAGCAGTAACTAAAGAGCTGCAGGTTCAAGGAGTTTCCAAATATCACAGATCTTGAGATCTCATCAGGAAATAAAAATAAAATCAAAGCAGTCACAATATAAAATAGCAGCTCCATGTAGCTTTTTCAAGTCTTAACTTTATTCAGAAAGTGACACTTAGTTCAGTTTGCCTCATTCTTTGAAGCTTCATCGAAGTTTTCAACAAGATCTAGAAAAAGAAGAATGTTGAAATTAAAGTTTGACCCACTTCAACTTTGCCAAATGTTTTGGGTTTGGCGTTTGTTTTTTTTTCTTCCCAAAGTTCTAGTTCATATCAAGTGCTTATAACATAAAAAACTTTCAGCTTATAAAACACAGACCAAGTAACTTTTAAGAGCTTCATGGATCATTCTTCTTGCTCAACCAAGTAAGTTTTAGATCATTCACTATAAAGCACAATTCTAAGAGCATTTGAGTTATGCTGTTGTTATGCTTTTAACACAGCATTTAACTTCAACTTCATTGCCTACAACTGGGCAAAGTGATACCAAGAAGGTAGTTTCTTCCCACCCTTCTTACTGAATATTAAATAATTATCCTAGCCATAGCTATTACTTCTACACAGGACAAAAATGCTAGCTCAAACCAATAGTCCATGTAAGTTTCTCATAGTGTCTGAAAATAATGAAATAACCCGCCCACAGAAATTCTGTGACAGCGAGTGACTAGTCAATACTCTTACCATCCTTGGCCCAGTCTTACACTACACATTGTTATCTCTCAGCAAAATTCACTTCCTTTTCCTCCACTGCATGCTTGTTCTTACCTGGAACTTCATCATCATCATCTTCACCAGTAGCAAGTGGTGCTTTTCCATCCACAGCTGCAAGAGCAAGTAGTTCAAAAGCATCAGTCAAGCTCACCATAGGCACCCTGATTAGTTGTTCTCCTTTGTGTTTTTTGAAAACATTATCTGTCTGAGCTAAACTGCAATGCTTTATCCAGTTCCCCTGCTGAATAAAAATCTCCAGCTAACCAAGGAAGTTCACATTCCCTTTGTTATTACTGATAATGCTCAAACAGCCCAGCAGGGAAATGAGAAGACGCATGCTAAACCAGTTTATTAGTCACCATCTTGTATCTAGGTATACTCAGGGCCTTGCATGGTAATCATTTTTCAGCTACAAGTGCAGAGATTGATTTTACCAATTTCCCTTAAAAGCAGCTTGGTTTATTGACTAATCAGTGTTTCTCTAGGTTTACATATTTTACATCAGCACGTTTTCAGGAAAATAAAGGATCTTATGATCCTAGGCCTTCAATAAAAACTAAGGTGTAATTGTGAAGCTGCAGGCAGACACACATGACTAAAGGCACTTAAAGAGATCATCGTTACCTGGCAAAGTCAGAGGAATATGGAACTGGATGCACAATTTTACACTTAGGTGGTTGAGGTAACCATGTGTTCTGGTCCACATCTCTGCTGACTCAGTGATTTCTTAACCATTCCCATTGTATTTGGCAGAGCTAGTGAGACTTAACCACATCCATTGTAGCCGACCAGTGAGCACCTGGGAAACTGCAGCAGTATGCTAGTAATAGATATCTCAAGTCCCTGGGTGCCTGTGCCACTACTTTTACTGCTATTCTTAGCTGCACTACCAAGGGTAAGCTGTCTTATACTCGCTATCACCTCAGTTTTCAAGAAGAGCATGAGGAAAGAGATGGGTTCATACTAGACTTGTACCCTGATTTATAGGGAACCAAAACAGATGAATGCATAAACTTTGGTCTGAAAGGGCTTGGGACAAGGTCACCGCTAACCTTCATTTTGTTTTTTAACAGCAGAAAGCTGTTACAGCTTAAGTGCATCTTAGTGTCAAATATGACATTTTAAAAGCAAACCATGTTATTTCCTCCTAAATAGTCTGCGTTCTCTCTCATCGACAAGACAAGACTAAGTTCAGTTTAGCACCTGCAAATGCAATGATCACAGACACTTCACTCTTCGATGTCAGGCTTCCAAATCTAGCAGACAATGCCGAATGGGAAGTTTTGTGCAACTACTCTGGCATCCACCCAAACTGGAAAGGAATAGCCACTTACTAGGTCATACAAAGCAAGCACTTTAAACAAGCTTCCCTAATATTAAAACTGCACATTTTAGCTTATGCAGAACATACCCACCTTGTTATGAGAAGAGAGATCTTAGGGGATCATTTTAAATCCTTAAAGGTTTTTTTTTTTCTTTCAAGCCCTACTACAAGAAAGCCACACAGGTGACATTAGGAAGGAAGGACCTGAGCTCCATGGGGAGAAGCAGTTTATCGCACCTCCTGAAGACTACTTCTAGCAGGATTTTTTTCAGTGGGAAGTTGACAGGAGGGAAGTATCATCAACTTTAGGAATGGAAATAGAGGCTGTCTTGTTGGCAGCAAAGCACAGGAAGAAAAAATGTAACAATCAAGTTCAGAACTACCAGAAACACTTCTCCCATTTTCTCTGTATTTAGGATGTTCCATACCTTAGAAGGAATGGGCTTAAGATATTTCAGAAAAGTAGGAAGACTGTACACGCACGACACGAGGAATGTTCCCAGTGTCAACACGCCTGTCTTTCACTCCCAATTCTCACCCTGTAGCGGCAGCACCTTTTCCAAACACCATATACTTAAGTCCCTCCTCTGCTTTTCCCATACAGGAAGAACAAGCGTTCATGCTCTACTACTAATTTAAGGATGGAATAGGAAGTTGGTGTATCTAGCTTAATGCTCATGCCAGTCCTGTTCTCTACACTGTTCTACACACACAGAAATTGTAACATACTTCCTTACAAACACTGCATAATTCCCTCCTAGTTATCAAAAAGCCCATGCAAGAAATACCTTCACCACACCTGTGAGGCAGCAAAGCAGCTGCAAGATGTCTGTCCTCAAGTCCCTTTCCCCATTACTTATGTTTCCATTCAAAGTGGCAAAACAGACATACTCAAAGTTTATCTTTTTTTAAAACCTAACTCTTCCAGAGTAACTCATCTATATAGCCTTAATGAACGAGGTATGTAAAAATACGGTAGCCACATCAAGGAGTAAACCACCATGAAATCAAGTCTGGCTACAGCCTTCCAGTCCTAGACCAGCTGCAAGAGGCGCTGACAGGTGCCTCTGCTTTATTCAGTTATACTCATCATTGGATTTGAGCTATAAATAAGATCCAGAAGCTCCATTTCTTTATAAGCATTTTATAATATGCTTGCAGACAGCAAGAGTGCACTGAATTTCACTGCTGCTATACAAATAAGCCTCATGTCAGCTGCTGGCATGAAATGCATTCAAGTTTCAACTTACGTTGCTTCGGTAGAGCTTCTGCCAATCTCCTCAGGCTGGTCAGACTGTCAGCTCCAAGCTGATTTAAGATGCTAGGAAGCATTTCTGTCAGCTGCTTTGTCTCAGCATGGCCGGTGATAGTGAAAGTGTTAGCAGCCAGAGATGCCTGAACTTTAGGGTTATTGAAGTGAATGACTGTTCCTTGGTTGGTAAACATGTTTACCTGCAAGAAAAAAAATTCAGTATTTGAAGCAGTTTAGCAAGATTTTTCTATTTAACAGGAAACTGAAGTTCTTAAAGCTCAATAAAGACCTACTGATAATTTACAGACAAGTTTAGGATGTTACTTACCAGGAAATTGATTTTGATACATTTTATATTTCTATATAGAAAACTATTTTTTCCTTTGAAGCAATTACCTCTTCAATTCCAGAAATATTGTTGACTCCCAGTTTCTTCAAAGAAAACTGAAGTTTCTTGTCATCTGCCGTAGCTGTTCTGTGGACAACCTTCTTCTTTCTGCGGGCAGTACCCTTTGCAAAAAAAAAAAAGTTACAAATTAATACTTAAGTAGTTCTTCACAAACTCTAATCCTCAGGGCCGTATAACTACTCTGTAGGCACCTACGAATCAACTTAACATACAAAGTTCTACTTCTGTGTCACAGTGCGCACAAGCCCACCCTTCCAACTGCACTGCAGCTATCTTTCCCTTGCTATAAGGCAAGCTTTGCATGTCTGTCAGAAGCGTGAGGTTTTAGGTAGCAATGCACCAGAGAACATTTATGCCACAATTCTTATAGGGATTCTGCACCATTTTAGAAAAGAAAAATTTCAAGTTTACCCTTATCTGTTATCATAGGCATAAAAATGAAGAATGAGCACAGTTTTAGGTAATTTCTGAAGCTTATGAATTTTTCCTTAGATCATCTTTCTTAAATTGTAGCCAAATTTTTATAATAGTCAGAGGCCATAAAGTTATCAACTTTAACATTCATTAACAAATTAATATGAGAAAACTCAAAATACTCAATTTTTATTCCAAATAGAAATCTCCCATCTGATGGACTTACACATACATATTTGAAGAACACTTATTTTCCCAAAATATTTTGTGTTTTAAAAAAATACTTCTACATATTATTCCAGACCACCCCTGTTTAGAAAGCAAAACAAGCAAAGGTTAAGTTGCCCTACAGACACGAAGCTCTAGGTTTCTCCAGGGAAATAACTGTCCCATATTAGAAAATATCTATAGCTATGAAAAAGCAGAAAGTGTCATTCTATACTTCCTTGCACAATCATAAGGCTTCAGTAAATCTGACATAAAATGTCCAAGAACAGGTGAAACTAAGCTCCTTTCTGACACACTATAGCTACTAATCTAAGTCCTCCTACTCCAGTTGCCCATCTGCCACATGCTAGCAGTAACAGAATGTGTTGCTGCCCAGCTGTATAAATGGCTGCAATACCTTTTGAGTTAACTGGCAGAAGTTAGAAAACTGGCTGGACACTAACAACTCTTAACATAATCCAGTTACAAATAATGAGGAACGTTAATGACAAATTCACATGACACTAACACTTGGAAGACTACAGTTTTTTAGTTTAGGCATTGTCTAGAAAGCCTGATATTCATTCCCTGCTACTGTCAGGTTAGCGCACACGGCAATTTGAAAACTACTAATATACTAGAAATGGCTTTATTTTAGTACCTTGGCTACCCAGGAATTGAGCTACAGAAGGTATACATTAAGCCTCTCTGGACAAAAGACATTTTTTGAAATTTAGTGAGAGGATGTCCTGAATCAAAGGCTGTATAGGAACATATACCGCCTTTTTACCCGTATTAAACATAGATATCAAACTTCAGACAATGAGTTTAATTTAAATGAACAGCTGCTGCTTTCATCTCCACAGATTTAAGCTTCTAAAGATTACAGGTTTTTACTACGCAAATTCTATCCTGATCTTGCTGAGACATGCTGTTCACACCCCTCTACCTCTATATTAAAGAGGAGTGGGTACAGCAGGCCACCAATGGAATACTACAGACTCATCTGCCACTCCTCTAAAAAAGTTTGGAAGAAGAGCCATGACATTTAGCTATAGCGATATTCTACACAAAAACCTCAAATTTCACATAACAAAGTACTTCAATAGCCCTCCATCTAAACATAATACTTAGCATATTTGTAAGATCTGCAACCTTGCATCATCATGAAAATCTTCCAGCAGAGGCAATGTGCAACCTCTTCTCACAAGAAGTGACTCTTCCCCATTTGCCTCCTCCACACCCATCTCAACTTATACAGTGACAATGCCATGAAGAATCCCAGTAATAACTTCCAATTATAAAACAAATTAAAAAAGTCAAGTTCAGGCATTCAAAGTATTTCACAGGCCAATTTTAAAACTGAATGACAGCATTACCAGCATATTCTAAGCTTTACTTAATGTTTCTAAAAGACCTGTATTGACCAGAATGCTGCAAGAGCTGTAATCTGAATGCATGCTCTGATGTAACAAACGTTAAAAGCCTCTATAGTCAGTAAACACATGCTGGTAACATGCACACAATCATCAATATAATACAGCAGTTCTCTGCTTAACTAGTAACCCATACAAAGAATACGCAAAATCACCAAGCCAGTTAATTACATTAACCCAGATTTAAGGCTGCCTAAATCTCCAGCTAAAGGCAAAAAAAATTCAGCACAGGAATGAAAGCTCCTGGAAACTCTGTCAGCAAGAGTTCTGTTGAATAGTTTGTATTCTAAAATATTGTGTGTACACTTCCTCAGGTATAAAAAAATCACTAACAAATTCTTACCTTGAAACTGACACTGTAATTAAAATGTTTACTAGCATATGACTATATTCAACATACTTTTTTATTTTCAGATTATAAGTAATCACACAGCTATATATATTCAGATTGTAATAAAATAAAAAAGTCTTCTGAGCACGTTCCTCTACAATTAAAAGAGTATGACAAGTACAGAATTTCCAACTTTGTCCTAGAAGGCAAAAAAACCAGCCATGGGCATCTTAAAGATTTGTGACGAGAGTTTGGAACATAACCCTCTATAATTTGCTATGAAAACCATACCCAAGCTCACTTGCTGTAAGGTCTAGTCACCTCAAATCCTACATGCAGTCTAAAATAGCCCGTACAAGAATACAGGCTGCAAGTCTGCTGTAATATATTATAACAAACCCCAACAGAAAACGCTGGCGGTTCAGCTACTACATACTGCTTCTACTGAACTGACTCTAGAGACCCCTGCAGCAGCACAGCCTCCCCTGAGGACAGTTAAGCCAAGCTGAGAGTACTTAGGGCTGCTCCCCATCCCAGTTTTCAGGACCCCTGGTGCTAGGTTTGGTGTGCGTGTAGGGACACGCATTCCCGAGGGCAGCGTGGGGAGGCGGCTCCTACCTTGCCACCGATGCGCACTTGGGCCTGCAGCTTGGCGAGCTTTTCTTGGTTCATGATTGTTTCTTTCATCTGCGGAAGCAACAAGAGCGTCCATGGAAGGCGGGCGCGGCAGCAGGGCAGGTGGGCGCAAGGGGCTCCGCAGCCACACACCTACACACAC